ACGATAACCCGACCCGAGCCGTCCCATCTACGATGATACCATGACGCGATCTTGGAGCTCAGACTCATCCTACGACCCGGATTATTTCACCCCTTGGATAAACAAACTCAAAAGGCTGCGATACCCCTGTCACACGGAGAATCGACTATGTCCGCGGGAATTCCACTGCGCCACCTCTAGCGACCCCCGATGCTCTGATTTCCCCTCCCCCGACCACACCTACTATTTCACCCATCCGGGATTTGTTGAGATCACCACCAGTTTCACTCCTTTCCGCCTTCTTCTCCCGTATCATCAACTCAGCATTGTTCCGTGGCCGGCCATAGCCCCCTGTTGGCCCAGCACGTTTTGCGTGAATTGCCGACGTAGCAGCGAACAGAGAACTCCGGAATTCCGAAGGCCCAATCCAAGTACGCGACGGCCTGCACCACGTGGCGGCCCCCGACGGCCTAACTTTTCGGGACCACCTCCACCGCGGAGGGATTTCCCCGTAAGCCGTCGCCCACAGTGCCCCGGCCCCATCAAACCTTGAGTCCCTTGCGCACGCGCCCCTTATTCGCCTAATTGCGTTCATACCCTTAAGACTCCCCCACTTTCCCAAAAATCCTTGGCATACCCCTTTTCGCACTTCCAGGCCCACATCCTACTCCGATCAGGAAGTCGCGCTGGGCGTGAGGTTGGGCGTCACATTCTTGCCGAATCGGATTCCCCCTCTGCACGCAGAAAAAAATAAACCGAACCTTTGCATTTTATTTTTTTTGGCTGGCCCTGCCGGCAATTTTGCTCCGGTAGGCCGTGCCTGGGAAGTCGCGGTGCGTGCATGGCCACGTCGGAGAAAAACGGGTGGGAAAAGTAGTGGTGGTTTAATGTCCTTGTCTAATTGACCTTGATTTTTTATGCAAGCCAGAAATTGCCATAATGTCCTTGTCCAATTGACCTTGATTTCCAATGCAAGCCAGAACTTGCCAAATAAAATCCTACCATCTCCTTTCACCCCTTTCTTGTCATCCGTTGGTTTCTTAAACCACCAGTACCTGGCCCAGCTATCGGCCGCGGAAAAAAATAGGGTAGAAATGTTTCTAGTCGGATGAATTTGGGCGCTCCTATAGTAGCCCGTACGTTTCCTAAAATTGTGGCTTGGTAACGGGCGCAACTTTAGGAAGTACTGGTGGTTTAAGGCCATCTATAGTATTGTTCTTAGTGTTCATTTGCCCTTTATAGAGAAGACTCCATCATCGAGTGAGAAAATAATTATGTGTCATTTTTTGCTCTCCCATGCCGTTCTCTCATCCCTCATGTCCTCCATTGGACAAGTTCCTCTCGGGCATGGTCCCATTAGCAAAGCAGGATTGGATTCGATTCCTGAATCCGGACTTGTTTGTGGAAAGTTGCAGAAGACTGCGATTGATCTGCTTTTCTGCATCTCTGCACAAAACACATCTAGATTCTGGAATTGAATCCAATACTTTTTGCTAATGGGACCAGTCCCCTGCAGTTCTATGTATGATACTGGAATAAATTGTCCATCAGGACATCCACCACAATTGGAATGAGCAGAGCAGATGCCCCACAAAAATACCACCACTGGGGCCCCCACTGTTAATGATCCAAGTATTACAGCAATGCCAGATCCTAAGGGAGCAGCAGTGCCTCCAATGCCGTCTCCACTTAGCATGTCCTGCTTTCACGCGTTCGCGTCTTTTACATAAGTCTGCTGTTCATACCTCTTCTACATCACTGCAAAACCAAGAAGAAACAGAGCAGATGGCTCTGCAAAACCAAGAAGAAGCAGAGCAGATGCCCCAGAAAAATACCGCTGCCCGTCCACTGTAAATGACCCAACATAAACATCCCAGGACTGCCACACTAAGGTGCAAAAAAAAAAAAAAAAAAAAAAAAAAAAAGGTGCAGCACCTTGTTTACTGAGCATTTCCTTCAGCCCTATATTCATCACACGAGTCCGCTCGATATTCATGCCTCCTCTACTTTGCATGTCCTTTAGCGCTCCGTGCATATGCTGCTCATGGTACCAACCAACTCTCCCAGTCACACCTTGTCCGCGAGGAGATGCAAGGGAAACAAACAAAAAAAAAAAATTGTTTCCAACAGTCTAGTCTGTCAGCAACTGGGAGATTTGTTACTGTGGTAAAAAGGGAGACCCTTCTGCAAGGTCAAAAGCTTCAGAAGTTGATGGTAGTTAAACCGCCAGTCTCTGAGACCCTTCTGCAGACCCCTCTAACGGCTTTCGCACCCCCCCCCCCCCCCCCCCCCCCCCCA